CTGGAATTCCTTGTTCAAAATTGCAACATTCATGAGATAGATACTATATTAAATAATTTTTATATATAGTACTTAAAGTAATTAATGAGATTAGTTTCTAATAGGATGATTGACTAGTACCTGATTTAGCTCAGGTACTAGATGGAATAATGGCATGGATTAAGTGAAGCCTGAGAAAGAGAAAATATCTGACTCTTTCGTAGATGTGTAATGGCAGCTTACATATCAGGGTCTCCACAAAAAAGCAAGGAAACCAGGAGCTACCATGAGAAAGCTGGCAGGAGAGTAAGACTTTGAAACTGAAGGCTTCTGAAGATCAATCTCTTCACATTGTCCTAGGGCTAATGGGAATTATTTCAAATGTTTAAAATGTCTGTATGCTACATATGCAATCATAGATTGATGGAAATTTTTTCTCTTTACACCTTAATTATCATTGTTAAGTGTGGACTTCAGTGAATATAAATAGAAATGGAAATGGTGGTTGAACCACCTACATGATCTTAAAGGTTACCAGAAATGTGTTGCAACATCAATATTTTAAATTGCTCAATCTAAGGAAATGCTTAGTTGCCAGGATTTATAAAAAGAAGAGAATTGGGAAAAGAAAATGCTGAACTATCATCATGAACAGGCACAAAAAGCCTAAAGAATACAAATCATTTATAAAGAAGTGAATTGTGCAGCTTGAACTGAGGAGCAAACAAAATGAAGTGACTAGAGAATTTAATTTCTTCAGAGAGTTGGATACCATCATCCTATCTGCTTACGTAGCTTTTAGGAGCAGCTTTTATGTATGAACACTGAGATACAATTAATTAGCTAACCACAGATTTTTGTTTGACTCTGAAAATTGTTTAACCTCATTTATTTGTGGACTTTGTAAATTATCAAAAGGAACCTTCTTTAAAAGAATGAAATTTGGGAGAATTAAAGACTAGTGTTTTCTATAGGAAGTAGTGAGACTACTTGAGAGCAGGGATTATGGCTGTTGCTTTAATCACATATCTACTGGCCAGTGAAGTGGTTGGCATATAATGTGTTCGATAAGCATCTACTGAATTCAGCAGTGCTTGAATGAAAAATGAGATTTGTGACTAATTATATACCATTATCAATATTCTAAACTGTTTTTTGCATAGAAAAATTAAACATTTATTTGTAGCTTTAATGTTTATATTTTTAATAGTTTTTTCCAATTTTAAAATATGAAATATATCATTAAAAAAGCTTTTTTCCAAGATGTGCTATTGGACTCTGATGTGCATCATAAGGGCTCACCACCCTCCTCCCCCAGGTACCTTGAGCATTTGAAAGTAAATCTGTTTAATTATGGTTTATATTGTTATAGTTGCATAACTTATCAACCTTAGTGCTTTAGAAAAAAAGACAGCCATTTATTTTACTCATTTGTCACTTAGTGCTAAGAGGGCTTGACTTATTCCTAATCAATTTGTTGTCATATGAAGTGACTTGAACAGGTCTGAAGTATATACTTCTCAATTGACTCAGCCACATACACAGATGATGAGCTTATGTAAAACTATGTGCTGTACACCGTAGATTGTGGGGCATTTTCTTTCATATCTTAGCTGTTAATAAGAATACAAGCAGAAAGGTAAGTGATGGTTAACCACTGGCATCACATTAAGTCTTACCAAAAAGTCTCCTCATACTGATATTTCAACTTGCTGAGTCAAAGACTAATGCTTGACTGGGAAATTGGCCAAGGCTTTTTTTGGACAGTAGCCTTGATTCCTCCATATGGGGCCTCTCTGGAAGCATGCCTGCAGCACCTCACAACATGGACACTGGATTCCAAAGTAATTGTTCCAGTGGTGAGGAATAGCCAGTTTCTAGATCTTTCATGTCTTAGGTCAGGCACTGGTATATGATTGCAGCTGCCATATTTTATTGGTCAAGCAGTAATAGACTATGCCTACATTCTAGAGAAAGGGAGACAGAAACTTTTCAATGGAAGGATGTCAGAAAATCTGATGCCATCACTTATCTACTCTAATTATCTTCACAGTAATCCCTTTGCGTGGGTTTCCCTGGTGGTGCAAGGGGTTAAGATGCTGCCTAAGAAGCTATTCTCAGCCACTGCACCACAAATTCAATCCCCAGCCAGGGAGCTGACCCACAAGGCGCAGCAGACCTCTCCTGACTTGCCCGCTGCTCCCCTCAGCAGTGTCTTTCAGTCAATCTGCCTGTTCTGCTCTCTGCTTCCCACTTTGTCTCTGGTGACAAAAATAAGACTTCTTTATGTAAGATATTTGCTGGTGTGTATGCCAGAATAACCAAGTTTTTAAATATGATAATTTTGCAAAATTATCTTGTCCTAAGTTCACTCAAGGCTAAAAGGCTTCAAAAGAGCATGTAAAATGGGACTTACCAAGTTTTAATGAATTAGTGCAATTACTTGTAAAGTAGACATATTTACAATAAGGCATCCCATTCAAAATAGTTTCTTTGTAAAAAAATACAAATATATGAATACATACATGTGGTAACATTTCATAAAACTACACCAAAAAAATGAGTGCATATAAAATTATGGGGCAATATGAATAAGTCTATACTTTGGTTAATTGTTTTCTGCCATTCCCTGGTTTTGATAAATAACCATAATTGTGTAACATTTCACCATTGAGAGAAGCTGCATGTAGAAATATGTGAATCTTTTATATTAATTTTGTGACTTATTTCAAAGTTTAATAAGAGCTCCTTCAAATGTTTAATATATATATTAGAGCTCTTTCAAATATATACATATGTGTATATATACATATATATATGTATATATATGTATATATACACACATTAAATAATCTCTTATGTCCTTGTTTAATTCTACCAAGCATAGAACACCACACTTACATGAAAATGGGCAACAGAGGTGGGTATGGTTGTAATATATGTCAAACAATGGGGTGTCAATTATCAATATATTCTTCATTTATTAAGGCTGCAAAGTTTTAGCACATTGGCAATTTTCTTGCTATTTTAGTGCGTGAGCTTTAATATGAGCAGCATGTGTGCATATATATATATATATATATAATGAAAAAGATGAAATGTTTGTGGTAATTCGTTAAACTGAAAGGCAGTAGTAAGACACTTCTGCAAATATAGCACTTGCAAACATTTTAAGGAGCCAAAAGTTAAACATGTGAAAATAATAGTTCATGCTGTAACTTTTATTATAGCTTGTAGGAGCTAGGAACTATTAAACATGATTGTTGCATTATTTTATTGATCCCTAAAATAATCATTTATTTTAAAAGCAAAAATTCTTACTTCCCTTTTCTGAAAATGTAAAATTCCTTATTTAATTCCTGATTCTTGTATCATTAATTTGTTCATGTTTTTTCTGTTTTAAATACCATTAATAGTGGAATAGAGATACTGTGTCTGTTATTATCTCTATTTTCAGCTTTGTTTTTAAATATAAATATTCAAAGATTTGAAAGCCTGGTTGTGAAATGTCAGCACAAAGCCTCCCTACTCAGTTTTAACAAAATGTCAACTATCTTAAAAACTGTCCTTCATTGGCATCAAAAATCCCTAAATAATAGGAAGAAAACTGAGTAAATGCTTATAAAGTAATAGCTATCTGTTGTGAAATTATAATTTGTTGTACTCAGAGAACAATTGTTCTTAAAAATTTGTAAATGATTTTCTGAAAGTAGATTCAGAATCTTAAGATGCCTCACCAGCTTGATTTTATACCATTTCTATCAAATGGGATTTGGTTGATGAAATTGCAAAATGAAGCAACCTATCTTTGTGGATGGGGGGGTCATTTTTCAAAGGCTTGCAGGATGTAGAATGCAAGTGATCGTTGTCTTATTTGTCTTAATAATTATCTTGATCGATGTTGCATCTGATATTTTACTTTTTGGATCATTGTCTTAATAATTATCTTGATCATTGTCATATCTGATATTTTACTTTTTGGATAAATTCTTAATGGAATGTGTGTGGCTACTAAACATTGTGTTTACCAAATTTTAAGGGGATTAGTGTTCTGCCCCCCCTTCAAAAGAGCTTACTGTTAAAGAAATGGAATCAAAGAGACAGGGTAGGTTAGGGGTGTTGTATGACTAAAGTTGGCGGTGTGAACAGTTTGGGCTGAACTCATTGTTTTTGCTTGTTTTGGGGTAATGTTGATTTGCATACTAAGAGGCACAGGATAAAACTTTTGTAGGGTCAGGTCAACATTAGTAGACTGACCAGGTCTGGAAAGGGAAGAGTTGGTAAATACAGGATGAGGAAGAGGGATGGCACTTCAGAGGCATAAAAAACCCTTTCCCATTTGTAGGAAACAATGGTCTGCACCATTGTTTGTTTTTACATTGTGGTTTTACTTTTAGTTAAAATAGTGGAATCAAAAAGCTTCCAGCACTGGGAAACTGGAATTTTCAGGCACTCCTTTAGTTTTATTTAGCTGTTAATTCCAGTCCTGTTCATTTTCAAAACTTTCTAAAAATGCATACTTTAATTTGTCTCTACTCCATACATTTCTGATGTTCTGTCAAAAATATTTATAAGCAGGGAAGTATTCCAACAGCTGGATGGAGCAAGTAGTGAGGGAGCATATACATTTCTAAACTGGATCATCAATCCCAGGAATATTTAAAGTCATTAGGCTTCATTCAGGAGGACAAGGCTGAAGGATGACTTTAGTCATCAGGATAGACTCTCTTAAGTAAATTACAACTTTGGATCATTTAATTCCTCATGAAAGCTGTTAACCCCCGACTATTTTGTCACCTTAATAAGAGTGGTTCCTGCTCATAAAATCATGTTTATCATATTGAAGGTAACACTTACAGAGTGGATCCCAAATTCCAGTCACTCTTCTCAGGGGTTGAAATGCACTTACTCCTAAAAGTTGATAGATATCTTGGTCGACTGACTCACTGATTTGGCTAATATTCATATTATTTTTCTCAATTGGGATATTTGTTTTATTTTTATCATTCCTTCTCTTTCAGCTCTCCTTTATGCAACTATTTTTGGAAATGTGACCACAATTTTCCAGCAGATGTACGCCAACACCAACCGATATCATGAGATGCTGAATAATGTTCGGGACTTTCTGAAACTCTATCAGGTCCCCAAAGGCCTTAGCGAACGAGTCATGGATTATATTGTCTCTACATGGTCCATGTCAAAAGGCATCGACACAGAGAAGGTATGGGTTACTTTTGTTGTTATTTATTGTTTCAGTAGGACCTTCAGATGACTGTTGCCATCCCATGCTCATATTGCTTGCATAATTGCTACATAAATGTCACTCTGTATTTCATAAGTAACCGTCTGTCAGTCATGTTATTGAGTACTTAGAAGGTTCAGAGCACTCAACCATTAGTTACCAATTAATGATAGTCATCACATTTAAATTAGAAATTGTGGTCCCTGAAAACAATGAATTATTCCTTTTTCTTAAAACTCTCTTGCTACCACTTAATTTGCTGCATTCCTCTAAGACCCTAATGGTGCTGCCACTTTTCTTGCTAGAGTTTTACTAATGATTCTTCTTTGCTTTTTTTCCCATTTAAAATTTATACAGAAGCTTCCTTGTATTATATATATATTCTATATTATTCTCCACTTAAATATCTTCCCTCCCTTTCATGTATTTATAAAGTAACTTAAATTCTTTATTTTCTCCTTTTCTTTTTACACAAATCCATAAAACACTGCCTTTTCTCCATTCATTTGATATTTCTAATTTTCTGCTTGTATTTTCTGCTCTTTCATTTTTTTATTTAAAGATTTATTTATTTATTTATACAAGCACTGGGTACAGTCAGAAGCACAGAGGGTGAGAGAATTCACCAGAGCCAGAGGGGAGAGCAGAACAGGCAGACCAATGAAATACACTGCTGAGGGGAGCAGTGGGCGGCAGGAGAGGTCTGCGCGCCATGTGGGACCCTCGCCCGATGGCTGGGGATCGAACTGGTGCTGCAGAGGCTGAGGGCAGCTTTGCAACCCAGAGCTCTACCACTGCGCCACCAGGGAGTTGGAAGCTCTTTTAACTTTTTTGATCTCGTATTTGTGGGAGAAGGATCCAACATCCTCCTTGCAATAAACAAAACCAAGTTAAAAATAATTGTCACTTTCTACATTCAGTTGATTCACATCGAATGCAGGAATGGCAAATAGGACTTGCACACATGAGTTTTAGAAAAAACATTGAGTGTATTTTTTTTTTTTTTACAAGCATTTGTGAGGACTGTTATTTTGGGATACTGGGTTTTTTTTTTTTTAAAGATTTATTTATTTATGCATACAAGAGCTGGGGTACAGGCCAGAGATGCGGGGGGGTGAGAGGATTCGCCAGAGACAGAGCGGGGGACAGAAAAGGCAGAAATCGACTGAAATACACTGCTGAGCGGAGCAGCAGGCGAGTCAGGAGAGGTTTGCTGCGCCATGTGGGTAGCTCCCTGGCCAGGGATCAAACTTGTACTGCAGAGGCTGTAGATTGCTTCATAGTGCGGTGCTTAACACCTTGCACCACTAGGGAGGCCCGGGATACTGGTTTTTGACATATGATAATGGGATCATTCATAGCCCATTTCCCACAAATTTGATTTATTTTGATAATATGGGGTTGAATTGAATTTTTTCTTTAAGATCTGCTCAGTTAGCATCTTTCAATAAAAAAAAAAATAGCAGATGAGCCAAGTAGGTGTTTAGGAGAATTTCATAGCAAGTAGGTAGTTTAAAGTGATCAAGTGTTACCAAGAGCGGGTGTTGAGGGAAGGCATAGGGAATGGGTATGGAATGTAAGAGCACAGAGGGAGACCATCAGAGACAGTGCAAGTGAGATGTTCAGGGGTAACTCTGTGGAGGAGATTTTGCAAGATGCAGTATTAATTTTACAGCCACTTGAAGTAGAATATATGATCACAGAGGAGAATAAAGATACATTTCTGTGGGACTTGGTTAATGTACATCTAGGCAATATACAGTTAGTAGGGAGGATTTCCAAAGACTGATTTAGAATCATCTTCAGGGGTGTAAGTGAGATTCTGTTTAAGACATCATCAAATGTAGGGTGTCCTTTGACACTCACTTTCAGTGAAACTGAGATATGTCAATCACCAACTCAGTCAAAAGCTTTGCTTTCTAGAAAATTCAATGGTGTCATATAGAAGATGACAGAAAACATCAGTAAAATGGTGGAATAATGACCTTTTACATTTAGAAAGGAGCCTCACCTAGAACTTAATGCCACAGATGCAGTTTGTGGTAGATTTTTGAGGTTATGCTTTGTGTTCCTGGACATTGGATTGGCTCAGGAATGGAAACGAGTAGATTCTCACAAGCTTCCCCTCAAAGACCTGCTCAGTTACCTGCTTGATAGTGCAGTTAAGGTACAATGCAATCGCGTGGTATAGCTGGAAGTGCCAACACCATGCACCAGGGAACATTTTCTGTTTTCCCATTACTTTCCATGGATTTTGTTTGTTTATTCATTTGTGGTCACAGAAATGTACCTCTAATTAGTAGATTATCCAGGAAAAATAGAGTAATAGGAAAAAAAGATAGGAAGGCTATTACTAAAAATGAAGTTAAATTTTAATTCAAATGAAAAACAAGTACACATAATAAAATAATTTGTGAATTAAAAAAGTCAAGGATGTGCCTCTAAACTGAATGGAGGAAACTTCAAAAAATTTTGAATGACAGGAGAGGCAGATACAAATAACTGTGGCAAAGATGAAAGTTGTGTGGTACATGCATAAAACATATCTGAAGTTTAAAATGATAGCAAATTTCTCCATGACTTTACTGATTTCTCCCAGTTTACTATGTAAATCCATCCTCCAATTGATAAATATTAGCAATAACTAACAATAATTACAGTGAAAAAAAAATGCAAAGTGTAACAAAGCTGGGCCTGGGATGGAGGTCTAGGAGATTCCCACTAATTTAAAGATGCATTTTAAGACTACATACCATATCTATATTGGACAAGAAGAAAGTTTGACATGCAGTTCTGGCTCAGCAGAGAATCTAACAAGCAGAGCAGAAGTCCCATATGCCTGCTAGGCATTCAGTTATTTACTAAATAAATAGTACTTATAACACATAACTTTAAAATTCAATATCAAACTCTTAAAACATAGACACAAGAATTTGTAGTCAAAGCAAATTAGAGATCTCAGGACTAGACCACTATGGATGAGCACTGAAGATGAGTAAAAGACACATTGCAATGATGGAACTGATATGTTATTTAATATAATTAAAAAATGAGCTAAATATCTAAGAAAATATTTAATGAGAATCACCATGCATGGGTTACCATAAATAGCAGAAGGACTGAGTGTTAAATGTAAAAAGTAAGTATAAACTTTTAGAAAATAATAAGTGAACATATTTATGTCTTTACATATTAAACTAATGGAGTATATAATAAAATTATAGATAAATACCTTTGGCTAAAAATGTAAAACATCTCACAATAAAACATGAAAATGAAAATAAAGCATTTATAACAAGTATCACATGTAAAAAAAAGTAAAAATTACCCTAATTTGTAAAATTATCTTGTAAATCAACAAAAATAATAAAAAATTGGGGGCTGGAGAGTACAGAGTAAGTAGGCAACTTATAGAAGAAAAGGAAAGAAATCTAATAAATGTATAATAATTTATTTCATTTGTAATGATAAATACTAAAACAGCAAGAAACCATTTTTTTGTTGTTGTTATATTAAATGAATGAAAATAATGCCCAATCTTAGCAAAGGCTGTTGTGACTGATAATATCATGTAATTCTGGTCTCTGTAATTTGATGTGTAATTTGATAGGGCATTTCTTGGAAACAATTTGAACAAGATAATATCCTAAATTTGGGGATATTTACATTTCTGCTTCATTAGAAAATATCTTTATGCCTCTCCCCTTCTTTATCTATACTCTCTTCACTGATGTCATACTATTTCATGATTTTAAAAATGTATGCTAACGTCATCCAAATGTTCATATTTATTTTGGATACGTTCCTTGAGTTAGACTCTGCTGTCCTGCTGACTATCTTGTCCAATGAAGTCCAGAAATGAACTCCTAATCATCTCTTATAAACCTGCTCCACTGACATTCTTCCTTAATGAAATAAATGGAAGGTCTATTCTTTTGTCCTTTTATTTAGAAAAGAAACCCTCATGTTAAAACCTCCCCCAAACCTGTTTTCACCTTCAGTTCTTACCACATCCATTACTGTCACCTTGTTCAAGTCACTATTATGTCCTATCTGGGTTATTGTAAAATCCAATAACTGTTCTGTGCTGACACCTTTTTTACCTTTATACTATATTCTTAGCACACAGATGGTGAACATACATGACCTTCATAATAGTGCTCGCTCTCTATCTTTCTTTCTGTTTTCTATCATATTCATCTATACTATACTTTTTTGATAACAAAATGAAATTGATCGAATATACTAATATACAAGAGTAGAAAATAAATGAAAGTTTGATGACAATAATCATATAAATTTTTATTTTAGTTGCAATCTCAGAAATATGGATATAATTTAGGATATAGCTTTAATAAACAGCATCTGAATTTTAACAGTTACCCCAGATTTGGTATCAGAGACCTCTTTACATTACTCAATCATATACTTTGTCTTACTCTGTGTCTCTTATCACATTTTATTGTTTCTTTCAAATAGTTTATTAATGGTGGGTATTAGATTTAGCTATGAGATATATTACAAACAATTGAAATGTAATGTACAAAGTCAAATATTTTTAATCTAATGCTTCTTTTCTCTTATTAGTTCTTAAACAGTTATATATTTAAGGTGCTAGTACAATAGAATTTAATGATGCATTGCATTTAATTAGAGAAAAACCTTTGCCCCAATTATAGAGATTTCCTTCTATCATTTCCACATATTTAGTTTTATAGATCTTAAAATTCAGCTGTAAGCTACAAGCAAGTTAATCACTGTGATTTAATTCAGTCTTAACTTGTTTTATACGAATAATGCTTTATCTAATACAAATGGTGGCATTAAAACCAGTACTGATGTGGAGATTATAGCAATTCTATCAAGAAAGATTGTTTTAGGCAATATTTTTATATAGAACAGCAGCTAGATTAATTTTATTTAGTTGAAAGTATTTTATTGACTGCTAATTACTATAGCTGCTTTAGATTCTTTTTAAG